TGTAAGGTTTGAAATGCATCTTTTTAACACTTATGAGAGTATGCAACACAGTTCCGTTCAAACATATTCTCCAAGATGCGCTCACACATTTCAAACCTTATATTTACGTTCTTTTACATTCACTTTCATTATTTTAAATTAAGAAAAAGTAGTTTTTTCACGTTAAAAAAGAAATACGCCGCCCTGAAAACAACATTAATTGAACAGCCTTTTTTGCGGGAAAGATGATGCGTTGTCAATTGTGACGAAACACACATTTGAGCAATAAACAAATAGTTCCTTTTTGCACATCTTTAATTGTTTAATTTACATGCCAGCATGTTGAAAAGCACTGATTATCTTTAAAATTGACCATAGATTTTAATTTGAAACAAAAAAAAACCCGTAAAATATTTTAGTTACAAAAAGTCAGTCCGTGTTCACGAAGATAACTAACCGATAAACAACGGTTGTGTCGCGGCTAGGTTCACCAGGTCCACGGTACAGTTGGAATGTCAACGAGCTGGGTAAATGGAAATTGAAAGTGTATCACCAGATGACGAGGTTACTGTTGCTGAGGGGACTGGCCGACGAGCCGGGATGATTCGACCTGCTTCGCCACTTGCAACGGACGCTAGTATAGATGACAGCGATTTTTTTTCTGTTCTGTTGAAAATAACCTGTTATATATCTTTGGTGGTCCGATATTCATACATCACCTGGTTTGGAGACAGTGTGCTGTGATTTTTTTTCAGCACACTTATTTGATAAACAGCGTGATTTCTTGTTGATCAGTTCATAGAGGTAAACACAATTAAAAAAAAAAAATGTAATACATTTTTTTATGTTTTGAATTTTAAACCGTTGATCAAAACACAAATCTCGGTGTGTTGTTTTGGAGGTGGAGGGGTTTCACTGTTGTGTTAACATAGTTAAGTCATATAACGGTACAATGTAGTACTGTTAATATTACTACACACTTGCTTTTATTGAACCATAACAACATTTTGAGTTGCTACTGTTATCTAGACAGACTGCAATATAGGAACAACTTGAAGAAGTAAAGAGTTTACCATTCTGTTGTACCGGTGGTGTGTTATTAAATAAAAAAATCTCCGATACCTTCCGAGGTGTGCACACATAATGACCTCCGAATGCCATAAAGACTGCATAGCGAATGTAACGATTATTGGGAATGTTTAAATTCACCCCTGACGAATGCAGTGTCCATCAAAAGGGTCAGAAACCTAGTGGAAAACATATATTGGTCACAGACACTAAGAAGTCATGCACACTTTAACTACATAACGTTAGTAAATAATCTATATTTGGTGTATTTATTTTGTCTTTGTGACGAAGTATCAGAACTGAAAACAATACTGAAGTTGTGAAGTATATATCAAAGTTCAAAACGGAAGAAACATTTTATAATCTCAGTTTTAAATTGTCTAAGGATAAAACAAATGTCAATGTGACAGACAGCACGGAAATCGCATTAGCGTCGTTGTCGAGGTGTCTTGTTTTTACAAGCAGCATGACCGCATCACGTTTTTACTGTTGTTTGTGACGAAACAAAGCTATATTTAAAAGCATGTGTTTGCATACTGCAACGACATGCCATAATTATATAAAATGTCTAATTATCATTACCGAATAAGTTATATGACAGTTGACGTTACGGAATACCGGTACTGTGTCACTTATAACATAGATTTGTTTGTTTTTATAACAGTGTTTGGTATAAAGACATGTAATGCTTTGGGCAGGAATCTGACCTTAGATGATTATTGACCCCTGACCTTAGATGACCATTGACCCCAGTATGATAAATAACTGCAGTTCACATCGGGTCAAAAAAAGCACAAAGTGACATTCAAACGTGTCATTTCCCGGGTCAATTAGGCTTGTAGGATGACATCATCGCCGGGTTGCCTACTATATAACTGGTTTAAGTGACAGCTGGGTATGCCCGGGGCTGGCTAATACATGGCTGGACATATAAGATGGCCGTTTTTATAATGTATATAACTATTTTACGACAATGCGTATCCTTTCTGTCTCTGGCCAGTATATGATATACTATGACAAAGTTGTGCTTTAAGGAGATACATTTTGGACTAAGATATCAAAACGGTTAGATGTTTAAATTGTCTGCGTGTGTGTGAACAGCTTGTCGTAAACATAGATAACAAGTCGTTGCGACAGATATGAATGCTCAGGCAGTTAGTGATTGAATTCTAAACGGCCCATCAACACAGAAGAGGTATTTAGGGCCAATAACAGGTAAAGAAAACATACAAATAGGAAAGGAATTAAACAAACAAAAAGACAATCAGACAAATGTCAACTTGAAAAGCGAAATTGATAATGATTGGTTAAATCCTTTTAGAACAGACCAGCAGTGTTTAGGTAGGTTAGAATTGTTGCGATATATACAGATAATGATTGGTTAAATCCTTTTAGAACAGACCAGCAGTGTTTAGGTAGGTTAGAGTTGTTGCGATATATACAGTTTTAAAGTTTTTGTATCACTAATAAATGTTGACTGAAGGTCAATGTAATTTTTATAACAAGTGTTTTACTGTAAATGGTTCGTGACATGCTATACATTGAGGCCGGTCTTAGCGTTTCAATAGATAAGACTTGGTGATGTATGGGTAGTTTTATTTTGTTTAACGTCCTAAAACCGCTAAGGTCATTTAAGGACGTACGGGCAAGGATGGATGACAGGGTCATGACAGATATAAAAACAAAAATGACGACTCCACGACACGTACATCATAATTATGTCGACGTCTGTAACTGTCTGGAAGGGACAGATAAAGTTGCATGCAACAGATATATATGTGTCTCTTAACAGAGGACACTTACGAACATTCGCGCACGAGGTTTTTGAACCGCCTACAAATTAAAATCATTCAAATGTTTTAGTTCTATACGTTTCATGCTGTAACAGACAAGCATCTGATGACTCATATCAAGATACTGGAAGGTGTAGTGGTTAAAGTCATCAGTTGTAATACCACAATGTCAAATGTTGGCTTCGAATTCGTTTTTATTTCTTTTTTTCTTTCTTTCATTCTTTTTCTTTGCTTTTCTTTTATTGTTCTCCTTTTTTCAAACTCTGACAAGGGAGATAACTCTAGGTGATGTGGTTAAAACCACCCTCATTAATATTACAATGTCAAATTTTCTGTTTGAATTAATCATTTCGTTCCTTCTTTCTTTCTTTTCTTTTCGTTTCTCTGCCCTCTCTCTCTCTCTCTCTCTCTCTCTCTCTCTCTCTCTCTCTCTCTCTCTCTCTCTCTCTCTATGGAAATTTTCAAACAATCTTTCATTGGTGACTTGTGTCGCTCACGTAACAGCTTATGAAAACGCCCTATTCCGAAGAGGCCTGACCTGAGATTGGTTCCGCCCAGCGAACACGTGACCGTCTCCTCCCCATCAATTCAACAATTACAAAAAAAATCATTCCATTGCGTTACTATGGGAACACACCTTATTCCGAATGCTTTAGTCATATTCATCAAAAGAAGGGTCAAACATTTGTTTTCGCAGATTTGTGGACGCAGTGCAAGATTTCCAAGTTTATAAAATGATATCATCACATTCAGAGAGTTTGGGCTTCTTAAACCTTATTCACATGACTTATTTTATGTAACGTGACAACCATATTTTACTTACTTATTTTACGAATGTGATTTACTTTTAATGCGGTTTTTTAATTACAAATACGTGTGTGTATTTCTGAAGCAACAAATAGATCCGTTTTGTTTACGAATACACGCAAGCAAAGAACTTGACCACAACTACAGTTTAAAGAACATCTGTATACGGGAATGTGGGTTTTATGGTGTACAGGGCGAGACAATCGTGTTTGTTTTTCTTTGTTCTGAAGAGTATAAAACACAATGCTTCTCTCATGTTGACCACATACAGGTGTTACTTGTATTTATTTCCCATACACACACAGGAAAATGCACAGGAAAAGAGCAAAACAGAGAATTCCGTGTCAATCATATTGTCTTCCAGAAAAGGTCGTTCCCGGTCGATCCAGAAATACATCCTTTTTATTGGGTCAAACGGACTCGTACAGCCGACTGTGAGAAAATCCAACCCTGTCGTAGGCACTTTGCATTTCTTGATAGGTTGGTATCACTTGTACACTATAAACTACATGTTTTTGTATGAAGAAGACGGGGTGTATTTACATGTCTTTGTATGAAGAAGACGGTTAGTATTTACATGTTTTTGTATGAAGAAGACGGGGTGTATTTACATGTTTTTGTATGGAGAAGACGGTATGTATTTACATGTGCGTGTCTGTTTTGTGGTTTGCTGTAAATATTTTTTAACATTACATATAAAAACACTGTAAATTGCTTGTTTGTAAATAATAAAAAAGTGACGGAATGATCACTTATTTGTCCTGCTATTGCTGGGAATTTTCTGAAATTCTTTAAATAAATTCCAATGACTTTATTGTCATACTTTACAGTTCTATGAGTGACAGATTCCTGTAATGATTAATTCCGACGCTTGATAACTATATTTTTTCTTACGACAAATTCTACATGTCGAAAGTAATCAAATTTCTCTTAACACCTACTCAATTCAATGGTCCATATGAGTAACTATAATTTCCATTAAACCTGTACAATGAATGGTACAAGACGCGACTGTTCTTCTCTATTGACTAGCTTCTTGTGAGATTATGTTAATTTTTCACTAAAATGAATAAAACTATTTTCAGAGCTTTATGTTCGATACAGAACGCAACCATATAATAAACTACCCAAGATATACGGCAATTATCGAGTTTGTATCTAATCTTTCTTTTGGATAAATTACAAATGTAACCGGACTAAGATCGATAAAAAACAATTACTATAAATAATATTTTTGACGGTAATGAAATAAATTATAATATAATATATTTTAATGTAATTACGGCACACTTTTCATAGAATACATTTGCCCTTTTTAACAATATTAAAAATAATTATTAATAAAACACTTACCTATGATAGAAAGTACAGCGATTCGTATATGGGAGGTCATCGTCTTTTTTGATTAATCCAAGAAATAATAGTCCAACGTTCAAATAAAGTAACTTGTTCTAAATGTCACAATTCACTTGGCGCTATTCCTCCTCCTCCGTGATGAAATACAAAGTGAAGAATAACGTTTGTGTATCGCTTCTTCGGTCGTCTGCGCTGTCCGGGATATCAACATAACTTTATGTCTTTTTCCCCTGTCAACTGTCATCTGCCTGCCCATTAACTTGTGCACAAACGACCCATACATGCCATACTTATCGCCCTATCATCAGGTGTATTCACGTGTGCCTGTAAACGACCGTCATATTTGTTTGTTCTTTTCGTTATCGGCTTCTGGAAACACTATAATGCGCCTCTCCGCTTCCATTGTCCGACTTACAGCGTCCTTAAATGACTTAAGCTGTTAATAGGACGTTAGACAATATAAAACAAACCAAAACAGATTTCTGATGTTAATGACGAAAACAATCACGGACTATGATTCGTGTTCCAACAAACCTACCACAACAACTTGCTTTAATTTTACATCACGATTCCATCAAACTGCCATAGTTGTATGGTTACGTGTAAAAGCTGACCAGTTACATATGTAGTGCAGTACATAATCCAGTCGATAAATGTAACCCATCGGTCAAAAACATTGTAGAAAGATCAACAAGACTGTTACACGTGAATGTGTTCAGTCCAATCGGTAACTGTTGGGGTTTGTCCACCATATGTGGTATAATCGGGGACCTATCTTGGTCTTGGCATCAAATTCAATCTCCAACGGAAATTCCTTTCACTTATCTCTGTTTGATATTTTTTCTCTACAAGAAATGGTGAAAGAAAACATTCTCGAAACAAAAGTCATTTCACCATTTTGTAACGATATTATTTGTTAAAAATGTCCCATGAAGCAGACGGAATAACTTGAAAAAAGTAAAACAAAATTATCAGTTTTGTCTTATAAATGTAAAGATCAGGAATAAAATATAGCCTAAAACGTATCCCATGATGCACACAGGAAGAATATGTATGAAAACAACTGGGCTTCAAAATATCCTACATGTGAAGCATTTCAATTGTTAACCAGCTATGCATCGAATCCCAGCACTTGTCTTAAAAAAAACATTCATTATATGACGGTATCGGATGGAACTTAGAAATAAAAATGGTATGTTTGTTTATCTGATATAGCCAGCCATGACCGTTTACTGAACAGCCTTGCCTTTTGTTCAGTTTCGTGGCTTTTCAAAGTTCCTGTTTGCCCCGATTCTAATCGAGCGTATCTGACTTTCGAATAGATTCGTTTTCGTGTTATACAATGTCATATAATACGGTAGGATAGTTCTAATATAACACCCTCAATAATGTCATATAGCACAACTCACCCCTACACCCTCATTGCTTGGATCATAATCACGTGGGGGTCGGTGGTATGTGACATTAACCCGGTTTTACTATTTCAGAAACAGCAGGTTAATGTCATATATTCGCTCCAAATATCAATTCCAACCTTATTGTAGAGCTCATGCCAAATGTTTTTGAATAATTTCATGTGGATTAGAAACTCTAAACGAAATTGAGAACAAAACATTATTTGACCATGTTGTTGAATAGATCGTAAATACAAACATATTCTGACTCTCTCTCTCTCTCTCTCTCTCTGTAATGTGTGTATGTGTGAGTGTGTGAGTGCAAGTGTGTGCGACATTTGTACGTTTTTTGTGTAATTGTACATATTGTATGTTTGATATATGTTGAGGAGAGCATCTAGTAGCCTTCGGGCTGTTTGTAATCCTCGTAAAATAAATAAAGAATTAAAAAAATAGGTTAATGTCTACTTCATAACGCCATTTCCATTGTACAGACGTCACACTACTCTCTGCCAGTTGTATTACTTTCCTTTGTACATTTTTCATACGTTTCATCGTGTTTGATGATTAAAACCTTATTTTGTACTATTACCAATTACATACTTTTATTTATGTGAATATGTGGTTATATGGACCCTATAAAGTGAAAGTGGCCTGCGTCTCACTATAGGTTTTCTCACTCTCAACGTATTTGATAAATAATTGACACGAACAAATTAAAATTAAAAAGGCGATATTATCTGAGGGAAAACCGAAAACAATATCATTTTTTTCAGATTAATATCGCTTCATATTTACAATACCATAAGTCATTTCTGCGTTATCATATGATTTATGAATTTCCTTTAGAGAAAAAAAATCATTGTTTGAATGCAAGTTTTTCTTCCATTTTGTACCTAATATTGTCATGCTTGAGCGAAAGTCTAATTGATTTAATTGGCTAACAGTATAACCAATATTGTATAGTTGGAGTCGGGATATATAAACACATGTAGCAGGTGAGTTTAGTACAGGTACCGTTATATAAATGCGAGCGCTCAGATGCGGGAACGAAACTGTACGTATACCTCACATATGTATTTCAGGTATATTTCGAATTATGTATAATAGAAGTATGATTGCTGATGTTGTACAACATATATGTATTATTAAACTTAACCAATAAGTGGTACACAAGTGGTAGATTGACTCAGCACTAATGTAATCCCATTCAAGGTTACATTGGCGCATCTCCGTCAGTATGTGTCTGTTAAGTTAAATTTAACTTAAGTTAATTTTTCTTGTATTATTATATTTATGATGTATTTTATACATAACATGTTTATGTTTACTTTCTGTATTCGGTATGTTTGTCATGCGAGATCACTCTCCAAATACGTATGCAATAGGTATGTTTTGTAACCATGTATACCTTAGCATTCTGCCGTGAAGTAAAGAAAAACATACTTTGGCTAAAAGCGAATGTTATCGTTAAACACCTTTCATACGTATTTCATGTATCATTTCGAATGCAAAGAAAAGCATGCTTATACTGAAAAAGTATTATTACTTATACTTCTCTGTGTGTGTGTGTGTGTGTGTGTGTGTGTGTCTGTCTGTCTGTCTGTCTGTGTCTGGTTGTCTGTCTGTTTGTATAATACAAGTATTATTGCTAATGGTGTAAAATGTATATTCATTAAACTTAGTAATAATTGGTAGATTGACTCGGCATTAATGTAATCGCAATCAAGATAACATTACCGCGGAGTTACCTCCCGTCTCTGTTTCACTCTGCAAATATGTATGTAATATTATGTATTATATTTATGAATGCCTATGGTCGTAAGGCTCCTGGAATAAACTTGAATTGAATTGAACACCTTTACGGAATGTTGCATCAATGAAGCTCGGTGGGAGGGTTAATTAGTGGCGTTGTCTTTTCGTCCCCTCGAGACCCGTTGAAAAGTAATCGCTCAGTGCCTGATTATATTTTACAGGTGCAAGCATATATGTTCTTTGTTTTGTTTTCGTTCCCATGTGAAATTGTTATGTATATAAAATATTCATTTAGGTTTGTGTGCAGATAACACTAGCTCATATCAAACCTATTTGGGCTTCATACTTCCCGAGTCTAATCCAATGGTTTTCTCCGGAACATGTATCGCCATAGCTGGATACGATAAAATCCGTCTGTTTTTGGCATTTTGATATCGAGCTTAAGCGACCCAATGCCATATCTTTCAGTTTATTCACTGCCGGATACAGTATTTACCTATATATCTGCGTATACATGCAACATTACACACTTGTATGTAGGCGTTATTACACACTTGTATGTAGGCGTTATCAATGATATACTGTTCACAGGTGTAAGCACAATGCACTTGATTTCCTGTGTTTCAAACAACACAAGGGCACTGCCAAAATATCCCTAGCCAGCTGTAAAATTGTGGATTTTTTTTTATTTTTAAAGGCAAAGAATAATTTCCGAAGATGTTGAAAGAGTCATAGTACTTAAGTATTTCGTTTACTAATGATGACCCCAAGGTCAAAGGTCAAGTGTGTGCTTCTTTTCCAGGAACATGTTGTCGGAGCTGTAACTGTAAACCATTCAATATACAATAGTATTATGGTAAGACTTGCGGTATGACTGCATCACCTACAGATGATGTGCGTGTCAATATCATTAGATCACTGTTGCCTTTACCTCAATGTCAAGGGTAAAACAGTCTGATTGTTTCGAACATTTACAGGTGTACGCCAAGTTGATGCCAACTGTCCTTCACTGTCGTTAATTTTGCTTAATTTTAGTATGGAAGTATATGATGGCACTGTAAACTCTATCCAAACATCATTTGCGACTATGGGGTCAGCTTTGCGGACTTCTGTAATGATCCCCATTACAATTAGAACTTGAATTTTATAATTAGCGGTAACCAGTTCCTCTAGTAATAAGGTAAAATAAGTGCTAAGTGGAAGATATCTTGATAAAACTTGCAGTATACCCGAGGTCTAATATCAAATACGTGTAAATTTTCATAAATTTCGTGTCGGGATCGTAGCGATAAGGAACGCTCGGAGTCCCTGAAAAAAGAAAGACAAAGAACAAAGCGTTAACCACATGCGGAATAGCTTTTCTGTCGTACGCTGGTCGGATCGTCATTGATGCATGTAATTCCTTTTCTGCCGTACGCTGGTCGGATCGTCATTGATGCATGTAATTCCTTTTCTGTCGTACGCTGGTCGGATCGTCATTGATTCATGTAATTCCTTTTCTGTCGTACGCTGGTCGGATCGTCATTGATTCATGTAATTCCTTTTCTGTCGTACGCTGGTCGGATCGTCATTGATTCATGTAATTCCTTTTCTGTCGTACGCTGGTCGGATCGTCATTGATTCATGTAATTCCTTTTCTGTCGTACGCTGGTCGGATCGTCATTGATTCATGTAATTCCTTTTCTGTCGTACGCTGGTCGGATCGTCATTGATTCATGTAATTCCTTTTCTGTCGTACGCTGGTCGGATCGTCATTGATTCATGTAATTCCTTTTCTGTCGTACGCTGGTCGGATCGTCATTGATTCATGTAATTCCTTTTCTGTCGTACGCTGGTCGGATCGTCATTGATTCATGTAATTCCTTTTCTGTCGTACGCTGGTCGGATCGTCATTGATTCATGTAATTCCTTTTCTGTCGTACGCTGGTCGGATCGTCATTGATTCATGTAATTCCTTTTCTGTCGTACGCTGGTCGGATCGTCATTGATTCATGTAATTCCTTTTCTGTCGTACGCTGGTCGGATCGTCATTGATTCATGTAATTCCTTTTCTGTCGTACGCTGGTCGGATCGTCATTGATTCATGTAATTCCTTTTCTGTCGTACGCTGGTCGGATCGTCATTGATTCATGTAATTCCTTTTTTGTCGTACGCTGGTCGGATCGTCATTGATTCATGTAATTCCTTT